CATATGAATGTGACAATAACTGCTTGCACATTGACACACCAAATTAGTTAAAATTTGGCGCCATACTTCAAACAGCTCAGTTTCGCCTCTTTGAAGGCATTTCAGAAAAAAATATCGCATCTTTCAAACTTCTCGCTCAGGAAATTAGCAAAAAAAATTTAAAAAAGCGCGAATTCTTTCTCAGTTGACCAAATAGTAATTTCTTTCGTACAAAGTTCTTTGACATTGATTGTCAACTACTTCTTGTTAGTTTGGACCGTCACCAAAAATCGCATCAGCTCCTGGCCGGCTGCGACGAAATATGTACTCATTGTCAGATTTCTCGGAATCCAGCTCTTTTCGTGTTAGACGCAGCGGGCTCGTATTGTAATGAAAATAAGAGTTTCGCGGCCATCGTGCACAGAAGCTAAGTGAAAGGTGTTGGGCGCATTCAAAGTTCGATTCGGGGCGCTACCAGGCAATTCCCAGCACCTTTTTGCAGTCTAACGTACAGTAAAACGTGAAATTCGTAACGAAAATGTTTAACGCCGTGACAATCTTTGTCGATTATTTCCAGAACACTCTCGTCTGATTAAAACTTTCGATAGAAAAGGCGATACTCATTGCAGTTTCTGCTAATGCTCTCCCAGTTTAAGCAATATTTCGCACCCAAAACAATAACGGAATTGTTCAATAGATGCTTGGACCAAGGTAATATACCAGACAGATAGAGAGAATCAACACTTGAAGTACTATACTAAGGGAAATGAGACGTAATTGACCCCAACTCATATAGGGGTTGCGCTAGAATCCACACTGTTGAAGACTCTCACCAAATTAACCACAAACAGATTGGCAAAGTTAGTAGAGGAGAGCATACCTGAAGAGCAGGAAGGTCCACTATCGAAGCGGTACAATGCCTGTTAGGAGAAATATATGAAGCACTAAAAACAGAAAGGGAGACTTTACGCTGTTTCATGGACTTTACGAAGGCTTTCGACTCTATTAACAGAAGCCTGCTTCTAGATAAGCTGGAAGGTATTACTGGGAGAAATAATATCATCAGACTCTTGAGAAGCATTCTCGCCAAAAAGGATTAAAGAATCTGCGAAATACCATAGTAGTTAAACAACAAAATAACCATAACCAAAATAACCATAAAGAGACATCCAAAAAGTGATTGAACAGTGAAAGTGTAACATTTTGACTACCTCAAAATTCTCTATTTCAAAAAGTAAAGAGAATGAACTATGCACATTGTGCGCTTTCTCGTATTATTATTAATACCACCGTGAAATAGAGTCTTGAGGGGCAGAGTTATAAAAATCGCAGTATAGACTTCAAGCCCTGTGAATAGAACTTCTTTAGAGCTATATAATTCGTCACTATAAATGGAGACGCGGGAAACACGAGGGACAGCTTCTAGCTCCGTTCTCGAAAAGTGAACTCTAGCCACTTCTGGTAACTGCATTTGTGATAACATACATGTTTGTGTTGTCTATTCATGTTTATTGAAGAGTGAATGAATTTGGAGCTGAATTTTCAACTACGAGGTGTGAAATTAAACGAAATATGGGATCATTTAGATAGATAGAAAGCTTTATTCTACAATTGGGCAGATGTTGCCAGGTGACAGAATTTGTAAACATTAAAAATGTAAGGTATGGTTACAGATGAATACACTGATTATGACATCTAACTTTTACAGACTCTTTTCTCCCAAAATTTAAATTTAATGAAGCGTTGTCTCATTAGGCAATAGAAGTTGAGAACATAATTAATATTGACTTACAATACTTAAAGTAATATTTTCTAATCTTACAATTAACAATAAATTGACAAAAATAATAACAATAAATTCAATAACAATTTCCAATAAAAATTACAACTTGACAGTGAATGATTGTGAAAGTTCAGCAGCATTAAGATATGGGAATGAAACATCTAAAACCAAGCACATGTAAAAGCAATCAAATCAGGGAAAGAACAAGTAATTGTAAGTTAAAATGATAACCAATTGATTGTAACAATGATGCCTCAGGTGTCGCCCATAAATTATGTAACACTAAACGGGGAAGAGGGAGTTTGAGGCAGCATTTCTTTCCCAACTCTGCGATATGAAGGGGTTTATCTTATACTCCAATTTAAACATACAGGCACTCCAAGGTTATAAACTGGAAGAAAAAGGAAATTGTCATCAAATCGGGAGCTCCAATACTGAAATTTAGGTCGTATTGAAGTTCTCCATTGGATCACTGTCCCCCGTCCTCCGTTCAGCTCATGGCCTTGGAGTGGCATTATGTTGAAATTGGAGTTAAGTGTTACGTAACATTGAATTTTTTTAAATATTCATCATTTGCTGAAAAAAACTACTTTTTTGTCTTAAACCATAACATTAAAATATGAATTATGTTTTTAAAATATAATGTATTAAAGTTATCATGTAATTTGTTACAATAAATGGAAATCTTTTTTCATATTTTTTAATGAATCTGTAATATTACGACGAAAATATTCAAAACTGATCTATCGCACATTCTAGAATCCAATTAAATTGGTGCAGTAGACTGTTGCCTCTGAGTCATAGGTCATCCACGAGTACGTATGCTGGTGCACGGCATGTTGGCAGAAATTTTCACGCCTTTCTTTCACACAATACTTGTTCTCAATTTTATCGTTAGATGTAATCAACATCGTTTAATTAATCATTTAATTCTGACTGATATTGAGGAATATATTACTATATTCCTCCAACCATGAGTGCTCTGTGAATGTGGTGTGCAGCGTGATGGCGGTGGACACACGCACGTTTTTATTGTATTTTATTTGTTGCGTCTTTTTCACAAGCCTTTAAGCCATTCTTGAACATCGCGCGTATATACAGTCGAATCCAGTTATAGTGAACCCTCGGTTATAATGAACTTAAGTCACTGGTCTCGTTTCACTTACATTACAAATAAACTTAAGAAGATTCGTTTATAGTGTACCTGAACCCCGGCTCTGGTGAACGTAGGAAATGTTTTGGAAATTCCCTCCTGGAAAAGATATTGCCTCATTGCTACAAATTCCAACACTATGTAGGTTCAAAAAATGTTGGCCAAAGGCCATAACAGAAGTAGTGTACCCTAGGGTGAAGGCAGGGGACCGGGAATGGGCACCATACATGACACTCAGTTTCACAGCGGAAACGAAGACCGTGCCCTGCATGGGCTACAACTGGCGGCGGCGACGCGCAATTGCTTACTTCAGTATCAATCTTGTTTGAGTTCTTGTTCAGTATCAATCTTACTTGATATTCCGAGGGGTCAAAGAGTGTTGAATTCTACCACGACGACAGGAAGCTCGCGACTGCCACAGCCTGGCCGCGCGCCGTTCCGCGCGGAAAAGCGATCTGTTCCATTAGCCGCTTGTGCCATCCCGCTACCTAAAGCATCTCGTATAATATTAGGCGAGTAAAAGGGTCTTCAGAGATGGGACATTATTCCAACAGTGTAAGAAGCATTGAAGGGTGTCACACTGCATTACGATACTTAGACACGGATGACACTATAGAATCAATTATGGAGAGAACACAAACTGCGAAGGATCTAGAGATATTACTAATAAAAAAGTACGAAGAGAACACTCGAAAAGAAATTGCATTTTTAAGGGCAAATAAAGATGTTGAAATTTTCAGTTCGTGCTGTTAAAGTATTTTGCTATATCTCTATATTAATACAATCAATCGTTAGAGAGAAATTCTGTTTAATTTTTATATCCTCTGATATAGAGAACCAAGAACGTTAGTCTCCAGTAGTTCACTATAACCAAAGTCGATTGTATATTTCTAGAGTAATACTCCGTAAAGTTTTTGTCTCGTCACGTCGCAGTCAGTCAATGCCATTTATCCTTTCGCCCAGGAGCTCGATGCCGTTAGTGACCGAGTTTTCCAGACAGTAACCCGACCAGGAATCCGTAGTATCTAGAGTTGCTTATAAAACTCAAGTAAATTTTTGGAACTTCCGTGACTTCAAGGAGCGTGGTTTAGTAATTCGGCTAACGACGCCGGCTAAATACCGTCTCAAGATGAAAATCCTGGTAAATGCACCTGGAAACGCCTGGGACACCACCATTTCACTGAGAACTATATCGTGGAGGAATGATGAATAATTGTGATTACTTTGAATAAGTGTAATCTTATTTTAACCCCTGCATCATATTATGGTGTCATAACGTCAAAGCAACATTCTTGCTATGTAGTGTACAGCATGTGCGGTGATGTGCGGATCCTCCTTTTACCAAGACAAGATGTAACGTACCTTGCACCAAGGTCCTATATACCATAATAAACTCCTCTTAATCCGCTCATTTGCAGATGTGCGCAGAGGCACTGGACATCTAACATCGTCCAGCGTTCGCCTGGCCTAATCTTCTTAGTGACCATTGTTGGCACAAGTGCCACAATAAGTATTTTAGAGCAGATGGAGAGTATTAAATAACTGTGTGTAATGCTTATTGAGTGCGTATTTACCCGTCTCACGAATTTGGTGGAAACGATTAATTTTAATTCTCATAGGTAGGAGAAACCTTTTGAAATGAGGTTATGTGTTATTCCCGAAAGTTATGTCAGTGTTTAACACTACGTCGTCAATTACAGAAGAAAAGTGCCCACAATTAGAAATTATGGTATAAATTATGGCAATCAAGGTTTCGTTATGGTGAAAGTTCACTATGTTATTGCCGTGGCAATTGTCGCATCTTGCGTTGCCTGTATTAATTTCAGTTGCATAATTTCATTGTTCTATACGTACATAAATAGACATGAAATTATTGATATTAGCCACTTAAACTGGACGTCTTCCGTTCGTTGTTCATTGTCAAATGGCACTAGATTATGTAGTTTTAAAAATGTATGTTATTTGCCTAAAAAACATCTGTTTTTGTTTACTCTGACAGAGCATTCTGTGTTGCTTGGGTTATCTTCAAAAGAAGACTTAAAAACAATATATTTGTCTTCAGTTGTTAATCATAACTTAATGTCAATGAAAATTGCAATTGTAAGCAATGAAAACAAAGCAACAGAAAATGCTATGTTCATTGATCAATCTTTGTTCTTATTGTGGCGATTTAAATGGGATAATATTATGCATGTGTTTCACGATGATTTAATTCCTTTATTTTTAACCTATTTGGACATTTGTGGAGAAATAAGCAGGTGTACTTCCAAGTATACACTTGGATTTGTTGATCAAGGAGAAGGTGGGCCTTATCATGAGCTTTACTCGTTATTTTCAAATCAGCAACCACTACTTCTTCATAAATATGCAAACACGGTTTGCTTTCCTGAATTACATAGTGGGGTGTTAAGCTCAAGTGTTTGGTTTCAGTATGGTTTTGGACAAACGCAAGGACCTGTGAACACTAGTGTTCCTATAGAAATATTGCGTCAGTTTAAAGATTATGTCGTTCATAGGTTAGGGATTTCTAAAAAATTAGTAAACAATAATGCTGTAATATTTTTAAATAGGAAACTGAATAGAAAGATCTTGAATCTGGAGTATTTCACTTCAATTTTGTATAATACTGTGAAGGAGGCTTATCCTTCCAGTGAACCCAAAATTATTGAATTAGATTTAACCACTCATAACATTGTTTTTTTGATAGAAGTCTTTTTGACCAGCAAAATTGTTGTAGGGATGCATGGGTCAGCAATGATACTGTGTTTATTTTTAATTCCAGGATCTGTTGTTTTTGAACTTTTACCATTTGGAATTCAGCCAGAAAATGTGTCATTTATTAAAGCTTTTACTGAAATTACAGGCAGCGAGATTGTCTATAGAAGTTGGGTGAATTGTAATGAAACACTTTCCTTTGCCCATCCAGAAGCACCTCCTCTCTTGGGTGGAATCTATCATTTGCCTAAGGCGAAACAAGAATTTATTTTAAACACAAAGATTGTTCCTGCAGTTGAATGTTGTCATGATCCATTGTATTTGTTTCGAATGTTCCAAGACACTGAAGTTGGATCCGATTTCATTCCTAGATTCCAGGAAGCATTGCTAGCACAACAATTATTTTCAAAAGAAACTGTTAAAACCACTTACTTAAATAAACTCTTTTCATCATGGTATTTCCCTGCACCTGCCACAAATGTTAGTTGTACATTTCAACATCAAACATTGACTGCAATGTGGCAACCATCCATAAATGCAATTGATTCTCTTATTTATGATATTTCAATTTTGTTAGACAATAACACTATACTTTCAAAAATTACACCATACCCCAACCTGAAACTAAATCTCAGTTATACAGCTCACACGGCTGAGATTTGGATTAAGGCAGTTTCTTTTGATAGCGAGAGCCTGGACAGTCATTCAAAATGCCAAAGGAAGATCTAAACTTTTGAATTATAACTGCAGTGTTAACTTTTGTCATTTACATCTGTGTTATGTCAGGTGTTATGTTTATGTAAGGACTTTTGTTATATGAATGAGACAATAAATATCTTTTCTTCAGTAATGTTATTGTTATAATCCCTGCTTCTCAGAATATATTTTCAAAATAGAATAACACTTTCAGTGTAAATGTTGATCTTTCAACTACAGATATAGTTTTGTAGATTTGTTTCTATTCTCCAGGAATTAATAATTTTTCATAAAAAGAAATGTGAAATTTCTTTACATTTTTTCTTCAACAGCTTTAGTATAATCCCCCAGAAATGTTTAAGAAACTTTACTGCTTACCAGTGAGGTGAAGGGTGTGTGTGTTTAGAAAAGAAAAATTAATGCAGAAGAAAAAAGCACCCAATTTCACTGTTTTTTTATTTCTCGGTTAATTTTTCTTTCTGAATAAATATATTAATTTCTTTTGTAAAAAATAAACAGTTTACATTTTTAAGGAGTGTTTCTATGCTTCTGCAATGCAAATTTTTGCCTAGAAAGTATTTTTTCAAATCGACTTTTAAGTGCTTATTGCGGCTCAACCATTCGGAATATTCCAGTAGTTTATTAGACAAAATATGCTTAAAATTATCTTAAGAGCTTATTTGCAAAGTTTCGATATTTCCTTCCCAGACATCCTGTATAATAAGGATAACTTTTTTATGATTAGGCAATTCATCTAAAAATGAAAAAGGGAGCTGTAGCTTTGCCATATATTTTTTCCAAAAATTTTCGATTTGTCACTGGTGTTTTCTTCCTGAGAAGAATTTTTTTAAATTTATCAAGTGCCCATAGTACGTATTCAGGTACTATACTTTGTACCATATGGGTTTACCATGAATAAATTGTTTACAAGGATATGGGCCAAAGAACTTCACCATGGATTTATCATTATCAAGAAATTCACATTTCTAGGAAATTATCAATAAAACTTTTCTTGAGAAGATTTATGAATGGGCAAAGCTTCAATAATCAGTCATTATTATTATCAGCTACGTGAAGTATTTTGCGATGAATAAAACTCAATAACACTCCAGATACATTTGAGACTAATATATTCATGACCGGCTTTATATCTCAGTAACATCATTTTCCTAACACGTTACAAGTAGGGGCGGATTTTAATGATCTGTCATTTTTTTCTTTTTACTGTAGAACAATGCTGTTTAGTATAGAAATTCATTTTATGTTATGAGAAAACAAACCGAACCATTTTGATGCATTATTGATTTTATTATCATATTAATGATACTTGTTTCAAACATATTTATAAGATGCAACAAATGTTCACCACAGAATTCCTGAGTAGCCTTTTTCATTTCTTCACTCATATTGAAATGTCAGCCGTTATGAATACTATGTAATCGAAAGTTCCTATGATGCCTCTCTGCGCCATTTTAAGTTCAGCCGATTTTGCGATAAATAAAGGCATAGTCTTTCTTTTAAAGAACAGTCCAAACCAAAAGTTTGCATGCTGAGTTCACTTGAAGAAATTGAAGAATCCTTGATTACATCAGCAACATATCCAACAGCTTAAGTTGTTCATCTGAAGTGGTTTTGATAAAAAAACTTTTCTTTTAGGGCATTTTTAAAACATTTTAAGAGCATTTTATTGATCATTTATGGCAATGTTTTAGGTCATCAAAATCCATCCTTTAGCAGGGAGGATAGGCAAACCCAGAAATAATTTTCTCTCTTCTGCTGTAACATTCATATTACATTGTGGTTATAGTGAACTTGTGGGGTCCTAACGTGTTTGTTTCACTATATCTGATGATGTCAAAATTAAATAGAATTTCTCCACAATGATTTTATTGACATACAGATATAGGAAAATTCATTAACAAACACAAACTCAACTGACAAATAAAGATAATGAAACTGAAAATTTCAACATCTTAATTTGGCCTTAAAAATTCAGTTATTTTCAATTGTTTGATTCGTATATTTTTCATTAGTAATTTCTCTAGAACCTCCAGAGTTTGTGTTCTCCCCATACTTGAATCTGCATTGCTCTCTCTCTGTATTGTAATGCAGACCTCACACCCTTCAATGCCTCTTGCAATGCTGGAAAACCTCCTGCTCTGAAACCCCTTTTCTCACTTAATAATATTTAAATCCAATTAATTTCCACAACTTACTTCCAACGTTCACTATAGCCGAGGTTTAGGTTCACTATAACAATGTATAGTCTTATGCTTATCTGTGATGTAAGTGAAACGGGACCAGTGACTTAAGTTCACTATAACTGGAGTCAACTGTATTTTCATTTTTGACAAAGCATATTTCTTGGACTCAAGGAAAGAAAATTATCTTTTCCTTTTCACAGATCTACACAATTCAAAGGGAGTCGTATTATTGTGTTTGTCGGCGTGGTCTTTACAATATAACTCTTTTAATTGAATAAACTAATTTCAATCTATCCTCATATTCCCTTTTTGTGGAATATCTGAGAGCCTCCAATGTGATTTCCATTAGACAAATCTGCCTCAGCACACACCAATTGAGTGCCTACCAAAATTACCATGTCCTTATTGCCCCTTTGTTAGTTAGCTTGAAGGTAGTGTTGGGATGAAAAAATATGTCAACATCAACAATGCTTGAATGTCTTCAAGCAACTGAATCATCTCTGCAACAAGCATGCCATCTTGTTGGATGTTCTTCCTGTTAAAAAAATAAATAAATAAATAAAAAAAAAAAAAAAATAAAAAAAAAATAAATAAATAAATAATAATAATAATAATAATAATAATAATAATAATAATAATAATAATAATAATAATAAAGGGATTTCTATTGCAACTGAATGAAATGAGAAAAATATGAAAAATGAAGAAGTGTGAAAAGCATTGGAGAAGAACAAGACAGATGTATTTGTCACTTTGACCTTTCCGAGCCTCCTTTTTCCCGTAATAATATTAATTAAATAATTTTCTTTGCCCTACTAATGTCCTGATTATCTGAAGAAGCCATTAGGAAACGTTGCAAAACTGTCAATGTTTTGTTATTAGTGATTTTAGGAATGTTGGAGCTTCCTCCAATCCACTAATCATTGAATCATCAAACATTGACTGTGTCCTTTGTCATTCACACTTAGTTTTAGTTGTCTCTCAATGTTCGAGGTAAACATGGTTACTCCATTTCTGTTGTTTTATGTTATATGTATGTTGGCAGTGAATACAATTCTTTACCAAATATTTGAACTCTCCTTTTCAAATAAACTATGGATTATCAGTTCCTGTATCCAAGGTAATCTTGGACCCCAATGACCAGGGATACTCACATGTCTATATACAAAATAAAATTTGTAAAGTTGTAGAATGTTCCTGTTTTTTGTGCAAAATATGCAATTACATATTGTTGATAAATACTGAACAAAAATTACTTCCCTGCATTGAATATACCATAATATCATTTTCATAAGAGGTGACTAGGGCCACAAGAACTTTTCAAGCCTGTAACACTAAAATGGTTAATTTTACATCAAAACTTTATAGGAACTATTTTGTAGGACATTTTTTCTACTTTAATTTTGTATCAAACATAATTTTTGAAGGGATTGATAGTTACGGAGAATTAATGAAACATCAAAAAAGCACCTTCAAACAGCCACCTTGCCCCGATTCAGGCCCCACACTTCAGGATTTGTAGTATGTTTTGCAGTAGGTACCAACCAACAATCGTGCCAAGTTTCAAAACTCTGGGATTTTTTCCTTCAATCCTCATTTTTTTTACTAATTTGACCGACATTAATAGGCAGAAGCAGCTGCATGTATGTTGCCTATATAATCTTTCATTGTTTGTATGAAAATCTAAAGCAATCAAATATAAATAATAAATCTAATAGAAAGCTTCTTAGTATATGGTTGGTAAATGTGAGTGAAGAGGATGTTCAGTCTATGATGAAATGACACTTTTCTTTCACGTATTGTACGTAACGTTTTTTAAAAAAATTATAATTTTTTATTTTAGAGTTAAAAATTTAATACTCTCATTATTGTTGAAATTAAAATTGCAAGGCTTTGCCCTTAGGATGGTGCACAGATGTGATGTTTCATGCACATATTCTTGAATTATGTAACATGAAATTAATAAAATAATAGTTGAATAAATAATTTATATTCATTATTATATAAATATGACTATAGTTAAAATTATATACATTCATATAAATCATGTAATCTTTTTATGAGAAATAAAACACAAAATATTATAAAAGAACTGTTTGGTGCAAACATAAATGATTCATGTTATTCTCATAATAAATGCGATATTATTGTCAATGTATCTTACAAAACCTAAAAATTCTCAAACCAATCATCTCAATATAAGAATTGGAATACTATTTCCTCTTCATATACATTCAAAGGTAAATACTAAGCCATCTAATAATTTTTTCCTTGCGTAGGACTTTGCTTGCCAAGTTTCAGGAAAAAATGTTTTTTCAAATTTTCCAATATTTTTGAAGACCTTCAAAATATTGATTGCTGATTGTTCTGTATTACAACTATTCGTCTTCTTAGCCTGATGCCTCTTAGCAGCGGGTTAGCCATTTGACATACTCCTTTTTGTCTTGTGCCTTGCGATTCACCTACCCTAGTGTAGCTCCGCTCTTTTGGCATATATCCTGTATACATGTGTTCAAAGTGGTCTCTTTCCCTCTGGTCTGGCTTTGATCATTTGTTTCGGTTTTCTATCCTCTGCCATTCTATTAACATGCTCATACCACACCAGAGCCTTATTTTCCATTTCCTTGAGTAGCAGTGTATCTTTCGGTTCCTCTAATTGTGTTATTTCTCATCTGATCTCTTCTTGTTTTCCCTACTTTCCTGCTTAGGAGTTTCATTTCCACTGCTGTGATTCTACTTTCTATTTTCATATTATCTGGCATACTTTCAGTTCCATATATAAAAGGGACTTTTAAAAATTTGGAGTTTTGTTTTAGTCCCTACATTCAT